GGCGTGTGGCCTCTGCCTGCCTCGGCGGCCTCCTCGTCCCCGCGGAGGCACCTCGAGCGTCGGGTGAGGCGGGAGGAGGGCAAGCGACTCGGCGAGGGGGAGGGTGCACGGCAGCAGGAAGACCAGCCGCCCGCCCGGGACGAGAGAGGCCGTGGCGAGGGAGAAGAGGTCGGCGAGGATCGCCTGGAAAGAGACAGGTACGCGCGTATAAAAAGACGTGTTCCTCTGTTTTGAAGCGGTCGGCGAGGGTCGCCTGAAAAGAGACAGTACGCGCGTGAAAACAGAAATATGATGAGCTTCCGTCTTGAAGAGGTTGGCGAAGATCGCCTCGAGCGGCGCGACCTCCGTGCGAGGGACGTGCGAGCCTAGCGGCGCCTCGGGCCATGTTCTCGAGGAATGCTCGGCAGATCTTGGGCAGATGGGGGAGGAGACATCGGGGCGCAGCGGGCCATCTTCTCGTGGAAGGCGCGGGAGATGTGGGGGAGATGTGGGGGGAGACATCGGGGCGCAGCGGGCCATCTTCTCGTGGAAGGCGGACGCCGCGCGGATGAGCGAGGAGCACCGGGACCTCGTGGTGGCGGCGGTCGGCGGCGAGGCGGCGGGCGGTGAGCGCGTCTTCTTCCCGCCCGACCCGCCCGTCCTCCCGCTGCCCTCCCGCTCGCGCCGCCAGCTAGTCTGGGCTCTCGGCGAGGCGTCCGCCAACGCGCCGCCCGCGCCCGCCAGCCTCTCGCCCATCCTCGGCGGAGCGGCCTTCGGAGGCCCGGCAACGCTAGAAGCGGGAAGACGCTGTCCTGTCTCCCAGCCAGCGCTCGAGAGGACACGCACTCCGCCGCAGTCGACTGTACACTCGGCGGTCTTCCGCTGTCCTCGTATCTCCCTGGTAGCCCCTCGTACTCACGCGGTGCCACGCATGCTCTGCGCAACACACCGTCCTCCCGCCCCGATGCTGGCGTGTTCACCGGAATCAACGACGCGTTGAAGTCATACCTCGTGCAGCACGGTAGGCCTGCGCCTCGCCGCCGACGGTTGCGGCGAGGAAGAGCCTCTGGAGGTGGTCGACGCTCGAGATGCCGCGGAGGCACGCAGCCCCACATCTCC